AAGCTAATATTTCGATGGAGTACATTTTCAGTGTATCAAAGTGTATATACCCTCATTAGCTATAAGGCTGAGGGTATAATCAAAACTGTGCTCAGGATCTAAGGCGTTTATTTTTTAGGGAACTTTTGTAAGACAGTTCTGAGGTGAATTTTTAAGGCCTTTCTGAGGCTCTAAGTCCTGATCTTTAAGGAATTTGTCTAAAGCTGTGCTGAGTTCCTATGGTAGAGATTTTTAAAAGAATTTTCTAAGAAAGTTCTGAGGCCTTAGCGCATGGATGTACAAGTGTTTTTCGCTTTAAGGTGTCGATGTGTTGAGGCCCAATATCGTAGATTTTTTGAGAATTTTTGTTTGCATCCTCAGCCTGGACCTCTCTTCAAATTGCGACGTGCTGTGTTGAACCTTTATGAAAAGACCAGAATGCTGTTAGTCAACCAATATTTTGTGTTGTTAGCTAGGCAGTTCCATTTACAGTGTTAACCATCCCACTATGATTGCCGATCCATCTACGTCACAGATCGGACGATAACAGATCGTCGACAGCGAATCCCATAAAAGCTATGCAATATAATCCTAAACAAATAACCTCCTGCAATTTCGGATAGTGGAAGGGTTATTTTTAGGCAAACACGTTTCAGTCTGTCAGAACAAAAGTAGTGATATATCATCGTTCTAAATTCATATCGAGTCCCAAATATGTATCCTCCCTAGAAAGCTCTCACGACACATTAATTTATTTGTATGGTTCATACGAACCCTGAAATATTCATTCCACATGGCTGAAGTTAATAGAATGGGTAAAATATTTCGTTCATCCTTTTCAATCCCATTTCATTCATACATTGAATTAACATTAAAAGTAGTTCAGCTAATACCTTAGTGTCATATAGGTCACTATAAGAGGACATGACTGACTATTTAATGTAACATTACCTATCGAAGGGTTTTTGCTCCCTGTGTTATGCAAACTGTGAACGTGCCGGGTAGAATTCTATTCGACACCTCAGCAATTTATGATTAAAATTCGGAATAGCTGTATATTTGTGTAGAAAATATATAGGAGAACCTTAAGCAACACTGCCCTGTAATTTAAGAAGTTAATTTCGTTCTTAAATAAAAATTATAGCCTTTCAACAGAATCTCCCCTTAACTACCACCAAAAAAAAAAACACCAATATTTAACTCATCTAATAACATTTATTTACGCTAGACTCAAAATTATAACGCTTAAGTTAATTTTATCTTATCACACGCCATGATGAAAATAATGGTTACACCTTGGGTTACACATTACACATCCTTCGAGTTTGTCGAAAGCGTGGTTTTATATTTGTCGGGATCGGGATCGGTGTTGAGAGTTTCTCTCTCTCTCAGTGGTAAATTGTGAATTGTGTTGGAAAACATTACCACAGGTAGGAACAAAAAAGTACAAAAAGGTACCTAAAATTATACTTCAAATGGTAATAAATCATTATTATCGAGAAATATTGGCCAATATTTGTACCAGTTATTTATCCCGATCCCGACAAATATAAAACCACGCAAACTAAATTACAATGTCACAATTTTACTTCGCTTCAGTTGTGGCACCCTTATCTTTGCCATTTAATTTCTCTTCCAATTTTTGAAATTCTTTATCGGCAATTTTATCCGATTCATCAAAAACCTGTTCCACACCCTGTACTTCGGGTATATAGAACTGTAACATATTTTCAACGCCATTCTTAAGGGTGACAATAGAACTGGGACAAGATGAACAGGAACCTTGCATTTTCAATTTGACAATACCATCTTCGAAACCCATAAAAATGATATCACCACCATCTTCTTGTACGGTGGGTCTAATGCGACTATCCAGCAATTCCTTGATCATCATTACTGTATCATCATCTTCATCGTTAATTTGGGTGTCTGCATTGGGTTTGGCTTCATTCAAGATGGGTAAACCGCTGGCAAAGAAATCCATTATGACAGCAAAGACTTCTGGTTTAATTATAGCCCATTCGGCTTCCTCCTCCTTGGAAATTGTTATAAAGTCACCGCCAAAGAATACGGAACGTACTCCCTCAATTCGAAACAGAAGTTTGGCTGGAATGAATATAATGATAATTATTAAAGTTATTCTAATAATTTCCCTTTAGTACAATACTTACCCAATGGACTGCAATATGCAGCCGATACACCAGGGAAATCATATGTATTGCCTTTACCCAAGACATCGACGCCTGGTAAAAATTTCAAGCTATCTGGATTTGGGGTATCTTGTGTCTGTATAAACATGCTACGTTGACATTGTTGCAGAAGTTTTCCAACCGTCTGCCTGGTTTCCAAAAGCGATGTGTTACTCTGAGACTGTTGTACTTTCCAGCCATTTTGCATCAATCCCCTCTTTTGCATAACATCTCTATATTCAAGGGGGGAAGGTGATTTGTTATTATTTAGGTCATATTTTATTTTTGAATATTTCATACCTGATTACCAGTTTATTGGCGTTATTTGTAATATTACGTGAATTTCGAATTGCGTTCAAAATTATTCTAGACATTTTCGTTTTGGTCGGTGTTCTATATGTTCTGTGTGCTGCCAAAAAATTAACCTTTATTTTGATGTAAACATTGACAGGGTTGTATTGCAAACTACATGTATAACAGCACTGAACATACCACATGAAGGCGAACAAATATTGTATCAGCTGTTTTCTATCAAAAAGCCAGAGTCATAGGAAAAGTGGTCACGGGGTAACATATTATTGTTCTGAATCCTTACCCAAAAAGTTTTAAATCTGTACGGGTTTATAAAGGGAAAATCGAAAACAGTTTCGATCGAATGAAGATTCTTGCATGATCGGGAACAGAACATATGTCAGACTTTTTTGGAGGTTCTCCCTTTCAGCTGCTTTCTATCATAAAACCATAGCAAAATTCCTATCGGGTAGTAAAATTTTTCGACTTTATAAAGAAAAGAATTACGTCTATATTTTCAAAATGGGAAATAAATAAATTATAACATTGCTGTCCTTTTGAGGATGAAGATGATCTGCCGATTTATCCCAACATTAACACAGGCATTAAAAAAACATTATTCCATCGAGTGTCAACAGATCGTCGATAGTGAATGCGATGAAATCTTTGCATTAACAGGTATTTGCAACAACGTCAAGGAGGGGACAGGTCATTAGGATATTAATGTTATGTTAATTATGCAGCTCCTACTGACATGCTATCTGCCGTGTCATTCCAATTAAGACCCAAGTATAGCAATAGTTTCAATTTGTATCGAGGGCTCATTGTCCCCGGAAGCATAAATAAGCATCCCTATTGACAGCAAAGCCTTCACGATGCACACCAACTATTCAATTGTTCTTCCGAGCCAACAAATCTACTGTCGTATAAACGTTGAGACTTTTTAGGAAAGCTAACTGAAGCTGTGGATCCATATAACCCATTTTGTGAGGGGTTATAGTCTTGAAAAAAAATGTTACAATGTGAAATTATTATATCAATTGGAATACCTGTATCGCAAATAAATTCACATTTCTTGTTATGTCCAAACATAGAACATTTTGAAGGCATGTATTCGGAAGATGTGTCTAGAGGTCTACGTTGCCCCATGTCAATCCTCACCGTGGTATCAAATTTAGCTTCTTCCTCTACCCCTGATTTTAAAATATTGCACCGGGTCTGTTTACACTATAAACCGAACTGTCAAATGCGAACTTTCTCAACCATTCGTTCACTGAACATACCCCACTCGTTGAAATGAAAAGTCAATTTAGTGACATTTCGGCCGCCAACAATAAAATGTAAATAAATAGACAAAAAGAAAAAATCGCCTCTCTCCCCTTTGACAACTAAACTTCACTGACAACTAATAAATTTCTCAACTATTCATTCACTGAACATACCCCACTTGTTGAAATCAAAAGTCAGTTCAATGACATTTTAGACCCCCCAAACAAAAACAACAAAATGTAAATAAAAGACCAGACATGAAAAGATAAACTATATAAGCGGAATTCGGAAAATACTTTTAAAAGAAAAACTAAAAGAAAATTAACAAAATAAAGATGAGTGAACCGCAGACAACAATTACAGATGATAAAAAACACAGAATACAAGGTATGTGAGTGGGTACACAAAAGAAACAACGGTTACTTGTGCATGCTGCAACAAAGTAAGATTTGATTACAAAACAATATAAAATTGCGCGTGTATCATAACATTGCAGGAGCCGCTTTTCTTGGCCTAGTTGGAGGTATATCGGCATTATTTGGTTTCTCGCGGACACTTGGTAAGGCGAAAAAGTCAGAATCAAAACTTCTGGAAAAGGGAGGAACCAAGACCTTAATACTTCTGGACGAAGGTTCGGCATTAGCTATGCGTGCACTTGGCTATGGTACTCTATATGCTGTTTTGGGTACGGGAGCATTTTGTTTTGGTGTTTGGAAATTATCGGGAGCCAAGAATGTAAGTATATGAAGTTTTGATGTTTCGAGGCACATGTAGTGACAGTAGCACTATGGAGGCAAATTATAATTAATTCGGAATAATCGCGGTCCGCTTTATGGAAGTTGAACTATATTTTCAAAATCATTTTTGAGAGATTTCAATAATCCATAAATATATCTATATTTAATTTTCAGATGGAAGAATTCCGCATGAAAATGGGTAGTGCTCTACCAAAACTGACCAGCGACGAGCCACCCAAAAGCCGCACAGACTTTGAAAGTTTGACTGATTTAATGAAATACTTAGCTGCCTGGGGCAAAGAATAACAAAACACTGTTCCAATGCAATGCAATAATAAAATATAATTAGTTTCTATAGTTTAGTTTTGTAAAAGAGAAGAAGAAAAAAATCATATACGATTACGTATGTAGAAATAAGTTTGTATTGTTTATTTTTTCAAATGCTTGCGTTTTCATTTCTAAAATTCCCTCCTAGTCGTCGTGCATTTTGGAAAATTTGCCAGATTCTCACAAATTCTTTCAGCCATTACTTGATTGAGACGATGTTCACACTGTTCCTCTAAATTTGTAACATAATCCATAATATTGGCATAATCCAACTCTAAGAATACATAGGCTTGTTGTCGAAAATCCATCGATTCTCTGATGAAATTTTGCAAGCATGGTGCCTTTTCTAAGTATTCCACTTTTTCAGGGGATAATATGGATTTATCTATAATGGGATGTTTTTGTTTGGCCTTCTTAAGGTCACTGTATGTTTGGCGCAGTAAGGTTTTCCAATCTTTCATTTCCTGATGTAAACGAGATTCATAGCTGAAATGATATTTTATATTATTTATTTAAAATGAATTAAAAAAGTGGTATTTTCAAATTACTTACGCCTTGAATTCTAAACTATGTTGGTCCTCTTCGTCTTCAACTGTAAAAGAGAATAAAAACAAAAATTTAAGGTCGATTAGAAAATCTTTCAACAAAATATTACCAACACTGGTCCATTATTCGGTATTTGGAAGCTTTTAGGCATGTTTGTAAAGAGAATTGGTTCTAATTTAATATAAGGAATCTCATTGAGTAGAAAAACCAATTACTAAAATATTATCATGTTTTAGAGTAATGGTAGCACCCAACATTCGGTATTTCGGAGCGTTTCGGAGAGAATCGTCCTACTAAAAATTATCAATATTGATCCACTATTTAGGTTAACCCCATATAATATTAAGTTTCGGTGTTAGGATACGACTTTTATGCAGATTGGTTGTAATTTTATATTTTAGAATCTCGCTGATCAGAAAATCTCCTTATAGAAAAAATATCAATATTGGTCCAAGTTTGTGGTAAGCCCCAATATAATAGTAACCTACATTATTCGATATTTTGGGGAGCTAGACGAATGGGCTGTAATTTAATGTTTCTGGTTCTTATACGGTGTCAAAATGTCCTACCAAAAATTATCAACATATAAGCTTTAAAATTGCTACACCTCGTCACTAGACAATGATGCTCTAGACTTTCTCAAAATCAATATAGGATACAAAATTCAGATTATATATAAAGGCTTAGGCTATAAATCTGTCGGCAACATCGACTGATTCACTGGTACCATCCGCCGAGTCGTCGCAGCAAGGGTTCTGTGAAGACTTACAAATAGGTCTGATTTTCGTCTTCTTATGGCATCCATCACCAGTGTTGTCGTTCGAAAAATATTGGGACCAAAAAGTAGGTATATGGGACCAGTCAGATTTTCGGATAAATATTTTAAATTTATGGGAAATTCTCCTAAATTATTAGCATGAAAATAAACCGAAATGTCTAACAATCGGGTCAAATTAAAAACTTATTTGTTTTTCGAACACTGTCCCTCTTGGTTACAACCGAAACAGCCTTTAGAGCAGACTCTGGAGGTTCCCGTGAAGACTTGCTTATATATCCGACTTTCGTTTTTCTAGTAGCAGCCAGTCATTATTAGTTAGCGATCAAGGAGATTATACGACCATGTGCAAAACAATCAAATTGCAGTCGAAAACTCGACAAGCCGCAACATGACCACACCTTTTAAAATGTGGTGCTATTTTCGAAATTTTGGGAACAAAATTAATCTAGCTGTAATCGGGATGAAAAGAGATACATCATTGTACTGAGTGATGTACTCAAGATTGGATCAATTCCATTAGGACATAGATCAATTTTAGTATCTGTTCACGTACACAAAAGCTGGCAAATCTTTTAAAATTTATAAACCCAAAACATTTTCATTTAACAATACGATTATTACAGATTCTGAAACAGCAATTCTTTACAACCTAATAAATAATTCGAGGTCCCCAAAAGTTCGTTATACTCACAGTTCTCCAATGTCAAATTGAATAAACTTTTTGTTACATTTTGTGTTGCATTGCTGGCAATTGTGGCAATTCTTTCCTCGGGATCCTGTTCAATACTGGTTTCAGCTTCTGTATCAATATTTATTGCAATATTTGAATTATTTGCCATTGTTGAAATAAATATGGACAGTGAGTGTGGTGGATTATACAAAGCGAGTAACGTCAACCTGAAATAAAGCAAGCAAATGACATGTTAATTTATTTGCATTGAAATTCCAGCAATCTTCCAAGCAAAATTCCGTATTTTTAGACTTAAATCTACAATAAGACCCGACCGCATGTCGTTTTGAAATTTTTACCATAAGTTGTGATTACATCGATCTTTTTTCAGACATTTATAATTTCGCAGATATGAAAATACAAATTTCCTGTGGAATTCTTGTATTTTCTGTTCAGTGGTCGTACAACACAAATTAAACATTTACATTCGCTTCCTACGATCTTTGATGGTAAAGGAACGACTGGAGATGACCAAGAGGCTTCAATATATACAAATGCCCAATATGAGATCAAATCCCTGAACCGTATTATCGTGTCTAATGTAGGAGGGATTGAGTGGCAGTGGTGAAACAATTGCAATGGACAGAAGCATTGCCAAGTTAGGAGACTCGTATTACAGTGATGATGTTGTCTCGTTGCTTCTGTAAGGTGTTGCAGAATCATCGGTTCGATACCCGCTTCCAATGTGGGTTAGGTCTTAGGACCGCTCAAATATAGAAACTAAAATGTTACTCCAATTCCTTTTATATTATAGTGAATACTTACTCAAATATTATCTAATCTAAATAGCAATCCCAAATTCAATCAATTTCAATCAATTCGTTTGTTTTGCGTTGTGGTTTGAGTATAGTCAACTTTTGCGCGCCTTATAACCAATATAATCTAAAAACGTTCCTTTTTGCATTTTGCGAATGGCGAGAGACAGAAGAGAATGACGCATCTTATAACCATCCACATCTAAAAACGTTCGTGCTGTATGCTGCGAATAGGGAAAGACAGGAAAGAATTGCGAACATGGAAGGATCGTCATTAACTGATAGATTTTGAGAAATAAATCATTTAATATTATCTGTCGACTTATCGGAGTCATTTAAAAAAAAAAAAAAATAATAATAATTAAATAAATAAATGGTCTGTTCCCGTACTGCAAGAATCTACTCGATTTTACTATTTTCTTCGATATCATAATGCCATGTTCTGACGGGCATTCGAACAACGTAGTTCGCTCTCAGAATTACGTATATGAATTAACCCGTTCATACAACACTATTCTTAATTCATGTCATCAGAGTTTTTTTATTTCAAACTTTTTGTTTCTTGTTTCACACCAAAATTGTAACATATTTGAGTGAATCACATATGAGGTACCCCAAAATTGGGGGGTACCCTTATATGGGAGCTATGCCTAAACGTGGACCGATATACCCCATCTTCGAACTTGACCTGCCTGCAGATAAAAGACGACTCTATGCAAAATTTTGGGGCTCTATCTCAATTCGTTTAGACGCTAGAGTGATTACAACAGACAGACGGACATACGGACATGCTTAGATCGTCATAGAATTTTACGCTGATCAAGAATATATATACTTTATAGGGTCGGAAATGATTATTTCGATGTGTTACAAACGGAAAAACAAAACTAATATACCCTCCATACTATGGTGGAGGGTATAAAAAAATGGTTAATAGATAAAAATTCCTGACGGTTTTAGTACAATGAAGCGATAAGTTATTTGTTTACAATGCTCGCCATCTACTGGCGTATAGTATAACAAAACACACATTGTGTAATAACGGCCAGGTTATCAAGTAAATAGGTTCGTTCGTTTACTTTCCCAGTAATATTTACTCAGTAAGAATTTGCGAGAGACAGAAGAGAATGACGCATCTTATAACCATCCACATCTAAAAACGTTCGTGCTGTATGCTGCGAATAGGGAAAGACAGGAAAGAATTGCGAACATGGAAGGATCGTCATTAACTGATAGATTTTGAGAAATAAATCATTTAATATTATCTGTCGACTTATCGGAGTCATTTAAAAAAAAAAAATAATAATAATTAAATAAATAAATGGTCTGTTCCCGTACTGCAAGAATCTACTCGATTTTACTATTTTCTTCGATATCATAATGCCATGTTCTGACGGGCATTCGAACAACGTAGTTCGCTCTCAGAATTACGTATATGAATTAACCCGTTCATACAACACTATTCTTAATTCATGTCATCAGAGTTTTTTTATTTCAAACTTTTTGTTTCTTGTTTCACACCAAAATTGTAACATATTTGCGTGAATCACATATGAGGTACCCCAAAATTGGGGGGTACCCTTATATGGGAGCTATGCCTAAACGTGGACCGATATACCCCATCTTCGAACTTGACCTGCCTGCAGATAAAAGACGACTCTATGCAAAATTTTGGGGCTCTATCTCAATTCGTTTAGACGCTAGAGTGATTACAACAGACAGACGGACATACGGACATGCTTAGATCGTCATAGAATTTTACGCTGATCAAGAATATATATACTTTATAGGGTCGGAAATGATTATTTCGATGTGTTACAAACGGAAAAACAAAACTAATATACCCTCCATACTATGGTGGAGGGTATAAAAAAATGGTTAATAGATAAAAATTCCTGACGGTTTTAGTACAATGAAGCGATAAGTTATTTGTTTACAATGCTCGCCATCTACTGGCGTATAGTATAACAAAACACACATTGTGTAATAACGGCCAGGTTATCAAGTAAATAGGTTCGTTCGTTTACTTTCCCAGTAATATTTACTCAGTAAGAATTTGCAGAGAGTAAATACGATTTTTTTCTTCTCAAGAGAGAAAACTGCAAAAAGTAAACGAACAACATCCAGTAAAAAGATTGTTTCGACACAGCTGATTAAAACAACAAACAAATTGGCGCAAACTAAAAAACAGCATTTTTATTAGAAAAATGGATAACAAGCGGAAAATGTATGTTGTTTACCAATACTTGCGTTTTCTTCATCAATTTTAATGTTTAATAATACAAAATCAATATAAAATTCACAAAACAATCAATTTGGTTGAGGACAATTTTGTTGTTTGTTTACAAAATATAGCAAAACAGCTGATTAAATATCAGCTGATGGTACAAGAAAATTCTTACTGAGTAAATTTTCCTTGTAAGAATTTGCAAATACTCAGTAACACAACTGTCAAATCTGCTCTCTCAATTCACTCTCTTTTACTGGAGTTTTGGGTAAACGAACAACATTTTGTAATAATTTGTACAAATTTGTACAAATTATTGAGTAAACGAACGAATCTAATGTCAACTTACAAATACTGTAAGGGTGAATTTTTATTTTTTTTGGTGCTCCCTTCACAGTTATAAGTGTGGATCGACCCCGTCCGACATTGATCCTTTTCTCAATGGTTTCAAAAATAATTCTGGAGCTATCCGAGTGATTTTTATACCCTTCACCACACTGTGGTACAGGGTATTATGTCTTTGTGCCCACGTTTCTAACAGGCAAAAGGAAACGAGATAGACACATGGTTCCTTTTGAGAATATGTATGAAATCACTTTCTGAGTCGATTTACGCATGTCCACCTGTCCGTCCATGTATTTTTGTGAACAAAGTACAGGTCGCATCTATGATCTGATTTAGATGAAATTTGGCATAGGTCACTTATTTGGCCCAAGGACGAAACCTATTGAAATTGGGAAAAATCGGTTCAGATTTAGATATAGCTCCCATATATATTTTCGTCCGATTTAATGTAAATGGTCCACCAAAGTCCCTATATATCTTTCGATCTGCACAAAATTTGGCACAGCGTAATGAATAAGGTCTAGAATGATGTGTGTTAGGTTTCCTGAAAATCGGTTCAGATTTAGATATAGCTCCCATATATATTTTCGTCCGATTTAATGTAAATGGTCCACCAAAGTCCCTATATATCTTTCGATTTGCACGAAATTTGGCACAGCGTAATGAGTTAGGTCTAGAATGATGTGTGTTAAGTTTTGTGAAAATCGGTTCAGATTTAGATATAGCTTCTGAAAAATTTAGTATCGGTTGCAGAATCACATGTTTATGGATCCACTTTCGTTTTACTGGTCCTTTAAAAATGCGACGTCTGCTAGGATTCATCTGTTGAATATACCCAAAGTGGTGAAGGGTATCATATAGTCGGCCCCGTCCGACTTTACTACTTTCCTTACTGGTTTTTGTTTTGTTTAATTTCTTGTCTGATTTTCCCAAAGAAATTTCGTGATGAAAAGAACACATGCCTAATCTTAAAAATGGCGCGTAAACTTGTCAACGACTATAAAATCTAAAAAGTAGCGCCTAACCTCAATAACAACCACTAAAATAATATGAATCAACTAAAGCAACAGCTGATTTAGTAGTAATGAAACAAAAACAACTATAAATGCAGAAAAAAAAACACAAAAACAGAAGTTTAGCCATTCAACCTTGAGATAAAAATGTTCTATTGGGAGGGAGGTAGGTTGCGGTGATAGTTTCCTTGACCATAACCTAGAAAATGCGAACAGTCGTCATCCATAAACAATGGGCAGCTAACGCACACACAAACACCCATACACCCATATAGTAAACCATTAAGATATTCTCATGCTCAATTTTTAGAAACAAACAAAAAATGCGGGAGACGATAATAGCCGAAGGACGGACAGAATTTCAGTTGCTGGCTTGTTATTATTTGGCCTCTTATCAATGACTCTGCTGCTGGACTTCTATTATATTCTATGTGGAATTTTAGAATTTTATTATTCAGCTATTTTGTTTGTATTTTTTGCTTTCTTCGAAAGACAAATAAAAAAATAATATTTATAATCTTATCAGCCGAACAAGAAAAAGGCAATGAACGCAAATCGTTCGTTCGTATCAAAACAAGAACATAGGTAACGGGTTATGCGAATTTTATTCACATCGAATATAAAAGAAATTATTAAAAAAACAAGACAATTTTTTTAAAATATTTAAAGAATATTTTTTCGAAAAAATTTTCCGACTGGATTTTTTAAAGAATATTTTTTCGACTACCAAAAAAATAGGCGTGGATTTTTTAAAGAATATTTTTTTCGA